CCTCTATTTAATCCTCATTCATGAAGATACAATTCCAACTATCTTCCATTGTGGCCATCTTCTAATTTTGCTTTTGTTGTTGTTGTTGTCATTGTTGGTGTTATTCTGAGACAGAGTCTTGCTCTGTTGCCCAGGCTGGAGTGCAATGGTGCAATCTTGGGTTGCCGCAACCTCCACCTCCCAGGTTCAAGCCATCCTCTGCCTCAGCCTCCTGAGTAGCTGGGAGCCACCATGCCTGGCTAGCCATCTTCTAATTTTCATTACTTCAAAGGTAATCTGTTTTTTCTATTTTTTTTTTTTTTTTCTTTTTAAGACAGTCTTGCTCTGTCACACAGGCTGGTGTGCAGTGGTGTGATCTCAGGTAACTGCAACCTCTGCCTCTCAGGTTCCAGCGATTCTCCTGCCTCAGCCTCCTGAGTAGCTGGGACTACAGGAACACGCCACCACACCTGGATAATTTTTTGTATTTTTAGCAGAGACAGAGTTTCACCATGTTAGCCAGGATGGTCTTGATTTCCTGACCTCATGATCCATCCACCTCAGCCACACAAAGTGTTGCGATTACAGGCATGACCCACTGTTCCCAGTCCTCTCTAGGTTTTTAAAGATCTTCTTGGGTGTTCTACAGTTTCACTAGGATATGTCTCAGTGTAAATTTATTTTTGTTTATCTGGCTTGGAGTGTCAGGATTCCAGAATCTTTAAATTTATATCTTTTGTCAGTTCTGGAAATTTTCAGCCTTTATCTTTTCAAATATTGCCTCAATTTTCTTCTTCTTCTGGAATCCAGATTAGATGTGTTATAACTCTCTGCTTTTTTTTTTAAACTTTTTTTCATTTCTATTTGTGGATAATTTCCTAGATTAACCTTCTATTCACTAATTTTCTCTTTGGCTGCATCTAATCTATTGTTAACCTTGTGCATTATATTTTTAACTTAAAGATTTTCATTTTTAACATTCTATTTGATTCTTAAGATTTTAGAGTCTTGTTCTTTATTAATATGTCCATATGAATAAAGTTTGGTTTATTCATATGGACATAGGAATAAATTTAGTTTATTGAAATAGATTTTTGAAACATATTAGACATGGTATTAAAAATTTTGTGTCAGACAACTCTGTATATTTGAGGTTGTTATAAATATTATTATACTATTTTTTTTCCTGTCATTCATGGTTCCATGTTTTCTATATGTGCTTTGTGTTTGTGATTCATGACTATGAGCTCCTATTTCTTGGGATTATATGTGGGGAAGTCCTTTGAAGCTTGAACTGAAGGTAAGGATTCTCCCAGACTGGATTTATGTTTGATTCTTCCAGATGCCTGGAAGCACTGTTAGCCAAGAACCAATTTAAACTACATTCTCAGCTTGCAGGTTTTTGGACCACTCAGGGACTGTGAATACAGGCTGTAATTCCGCATAGGAACCAGCCTGTGGTTACAAATTCTCAGGGAAGACATCCACCCCGACTAGCCCCCCACTCATTGTTAAAAGTTTGAAAAAGGTAATTGACTTTGCAGTCTCTACCATGGGAATATTCATTCATGGAGTCCCAATTTTTACTGCAGTGTGGGGAGTTGTCTCCTATTAGATGCTCTACTTTGTATGGGGTCTGGGTTTTATCACCTGGCTCTCATGCCTACAGGACTATGAAAAACAAAGCTCTTAGTTTCATGCAGTGGCAGTATCGTAACCAGTGAGGTTTATCTGAGGTGCAATTATTGCTAATTGAAAACTTTTCTTAATACGCTGCCATAATGACTTGAAATATACTCGGCATTGGCAATTTAATTTTTGACAGTCTCTACAGAGACTGAAGAAAAAAAGAAAAAAGAAAAAGCCTAAGTTTGCCTCATTTGGCAAATGATTCCCAGATGAAGGCTAGTGTTCTGTGTTCTGCTTACTACTCTAAGTTATTCATTTTGTTTTGTTTTTGGCCTTTCTGTATTCCTTACCAATTTTCTAGCTCATCAATACATTTTAAAAGATTTTTAAAATATTTTATCCAGCATTAAAGTTGCTGAGCCATAATCCCAGAAGCAGAAGTGCATCTGGTGAGTTCCTTAGGGGAAACCAATAGATACCTGACTTGGAAGACCCAGCTCTGCTTCAGCTTTCTTCCTCCAACTGGGTATGAGCTCCTCTCACACCCAGTTAATTCTGCAGCCTCTTACTATTGTGAACTGCACACCCCTCCCCTGGGGGCTAAAGCCCAGTTATTTTCTAGTGCATCCACTTTCTACACAAACAGCGGAAATTCAGGTTGCTTTCCTTACAAACAGCATTGTTCTCTTTCCCTTTCTCTGAGAGGTAATAGGGCAGTTTTTAAAACCTCCCCCTCTCCTGGGTAGGCTTAATGTTTGAGTGCCTCCCTTTCTCACATTCATCTTGCAGGTGGGAGTGGGAGTGAACACTGTCCTCTGCACTAGGTGGAAGGCTTGCTTTTCCGAGGAATTCTTTTCTTTCTTTTGAGAGAGGGTCTTGCTCTGTCCCCCAGGCTGGAGGGCAGTGGCACAATCTCAGCACACTGCATCCTCAACCTCCCCTAGCTCAAGCTGATCCTCCCACCTCAGCCTCCCCAGTAGCTGGGGACTACAGGCATGCCATCATGCCTGGGTTTTTTTGGTTTGTTTGTTTGTTTGTTTGTTTTTAGAAACAAGGTCTCGCTATGTTGCCCAGGATGGTCTGGAACTCCTGGGCTCAAGTGATCCTCCCTCCTCAGCCTCCCAAAATGTTGGAATGACAAGTGTGACCCACCGTGCCTGGGTAGGGATTTTTCCTTTTCTTTCTGATCATACTCTTATATAGCCTGGGAAAGAGGGGTGGGATTGAGGCAATGGTTAATAATAACAGGGCAGATTCAGAATTCAGCACCTCATCCTCTTTGATAAGACCTGAGAATTTCTCACCCCAAATGTTTTCATCTTTCCTTAGAATGCAGAACTTAATCCTCAACTCACTCTGAGTCCTGGTTACCTATTCTGAGACAACAGGAAAAATTCCTCTTATTCTCTCATAGTAATAAGTGACTCTACTGCTGTTACTAAGCCAGTGGTTCTCATCATACTCAGAGTAAAATCTATACCCCTCATCACGACCTCCAAAGCCTAGCTCCATCAAACCCCAGTCTACCATCCCTACCACTGCTCTGCTCACTCTCTTATCCCTCACTCTGCTAAGATACATTAGGTATCTGTTTCTAAGCACACCAAACTTGTTCCCATCTGAGAGCTTTTTCACCTCCAGTTCCTTCAGCCTGTAATTTGTTCCCCCTTATGCACCTGCAGTTGCTTTTTTTCTCTTTTTTTGAGACAGAGTCTCCATCTGTCTCCCAGGCTGGAGTGCAGTGGTGTGATCCCAGCTCACTGCAACCTCTGCCTACCACGTTCAAGCGATTTTCCTGTTACAGCCTCCCAAGTAGCTGTGACTACAGGAGCAGGCCACAACACCAGGCTAATTTTTGTATTTTTAGTAGAGACAGGGTTTCTCCATGTTGGCCAGCCTGGTCTCGAACTCCCGACTTCAGGTGATCCACCCGCCTCGGCCTCCCAAAGTGCTAGGATTACAGGCATGAGCCACCATGCCAGGCCCACAGTTGCCTTCTTAAGTCGCAACTGCTAAGTCACTTGCCTCAGGCCTCCCAGACTACAGAGCAGTGATAGAAAGCATTCATTAATTTTTGTATTTACTTTTTTGAGACAGAGTCTTGCTTTGTCACCCAGGCTGGAGTGCTGCAGTGCAATCACATCCCACCTCAACCTCTGCTCCGGGTTCAAACGATCCTCCCACCTCAGCCCCCCAAGTAGCTGCGACTACAGGTGCCCACTACTGCAATCAGTTAACGTTTGTATTTTTTGTAGAGGCAGGGTTTTGCCATGTTGCCCAAGCTGGTGTTTAACTCCTGGGTTCCTCTCTCCTCAGCCTCCCAAAGTGCTGGGATTATAGGCATGAGCCACCGCACCCGGCATAAAGCATTTATTTTTGAATGTTCGTATCTTTGATAAAGCAGTGTGACATCAGGAACATTTTGTTGCCGTCATTTTCTACCATGTTGGTATGCAATGCTCTAATGTTAAGAAATCAAACCTAAATCTAGGAAATGTAGACTGAATATCTGTCATATATAAGCCATAATTACGTAAACCTAATAGCTGTATCTAAAAGTTGACCTATCTTTGTGTTGAAAATTTCCATCATTGTTGGCTTGTCCCAAACACAAAATCCTGCGCAAGGGGCTACCAAATAATGAAATAACGCGGCAGTAGCACAGTCTGCCTTTGCACATTGTTAGGAGGCCACGGATTTATTCGAAGTTTCTCTTTTCTCTGAAATGAGAAATGGAAATTACCTTTTGATGAAGATGCAAGTGCCCCGCCCTCTGACGCCGGTCACTCCCTTGCTGTGTCACTCTTACAGCCGAAGTCAGGACCATTATCTTGTGGATATGTTTGCGTTTTTATAGTCAGCCTTGTCCAAAGGGGTCATACGCTCGCTCCCCGAAAGCAGGGTCTTTCCCACTTCCCCGGCTAGCAACAAACCCATTGCACAGAGGAGGCGCACAGTGACTGTTTGTGGAATACATGGACACACGCACACTCCAGCCTCACCGGCCACCTCGCTCGGCCTTCGCAGGGGTCCCTAACGCGCCTTCGAAGGCCGACTCTGCGAGGGGGGGGGGTGCGCGCGGGGTCCTCTGGGAAGTGTAGTTCGCGCGCCCGAGGCGGCCCCGGGATTGCGGGAGCGAGGCACCGCGTGCGCAGGCGCACTTCCGGCTTTGCCCTGCCGCTGCGGCCATTGTCCGGCCCCGGTGCGACTGAGGCCCCTTCAGGCAGCCCTTCCCGCAGATCAGATTTGGAGATAACCGAGCCTGCGGGGGGCGGGAGGAGCTGGCTCGAGGCTCTGGGTGGGCCAGAGGTCGTGAAATCCGGAGTCCCCCCCTCCCCCGAGAGGCGGTGATTCCGAGTGCGCGGGTCGGGGCGGCACCCCTCCTAGGTTTGGCGGGTGTCAGCCGGGCCTCGCCCACCACCCTGCAAAGGGGACTGGGCGTGGCCGGAGGGGGGTGTCCGGGAGGCCGCCGCGCCTTTAGTTTCGGGGATGGGGAGCGGCAGGCCCGGGCGGGGTCAGCAGTCCTCGCCTGCGTCTCCGCTAGAGATGTGGCTTAGGGGCGGAGGCGGGGCGAGGTGGGGTGGGGTTGGTGTTGCAGCCGCGTGAGTGGGCCCTGTCCTCTCTCCCCAGCTCCTGCCCCGGAGCCTGGCCCTGGCGAGGCAGGAATGGCCCCGAGGCCTCCGACGGCCGCGCCCCAGGTGAGCAACGCGTTCCTAACTGCCTGGGCATCCCATCTATCCATCCCATCCCCGGGGGTGTTTGGAGCAGTCATTGTTCTCCGCCTGGCAGCTCCCTTGCTTGGCTGGATCGCCCTCTCGGAGCCTCCTAGCCTTGCAAAACCCCAATCTTCGGGGAACGGGATTCCCAAGGGGCAGGCTGCGCTGTGGGGTCCGGGGGGCCAGTGTGGTGCGATCTTGTGAGAGGAGTTGAGATTGGATGCGTTAGAAGTATCTGTTTTGAGAATCCGGAGTGCTACACCAGTTTTTTGAACTCAACAATATGAAATGGAGAGGGTGGGGTGACAGGATGGAACACTGTAGAGGAGGAAGTGACTGTCGGCGAGTGAGGAGAGGAGCCCCAGCTTGTGACTCAGGGCCCTTAGAGAGTCTGTAAGGGGCTGTAGAAGCTTGGTCAGAACATGTCTAGGAAGAAGCTGGAGATGGGCTTTCTTCAGCAAGGAGGCAAAAACAAAACAAAATAAAAACCAAAAACAAAACCAGGGCTGATTCTCCCAGAGCTTTTTGTGTCCTTTTCTGCTTTAACAAAAATGTAATTGAGCACACCACCAACCCCCAGAAGTCCAGCCTTCACCTTAATTAATATGAGGCTGATTCGGGAACCCATTTATTCTTGTGGCAGAAGGGGCCATTTTCTAGAAGCATCACAACTCGAGGTTGATTTACATTGATTTACATATTGGTGAAAATACATCAAGATCCAGATGGTATCCGAATATTTGAATCTACACTCTTTAAGATTAAGGAAAAATGACCGATTGTAGCTGCTAGGTGTGTGAGACATCAAGATCAATCCAAATAAAAATACCAGGTTGCTAGGTACAGTGGCTCACACCTGTAATTCTGGCACTTTGGGAAGCTGAGGCAATAGGATTGTTTAAGCCCAGGAATTGGAGACTCTGTCTCAAAAAACAAAAACAACAAAAAAAACTACCAACTTAGTAATGTCCTTTAAAAGCAGTTTACAGTAAATTAAGCATACTATACATCATGGTTTTTTGTTTTTGTTTTTAAGATAAGGTCTCTCTTTGTCACCCAGGCTGGAGTACAGTGGCATGATCTTGGCACACTGTAACCTCTGCCACCTGGGCTCAAGCAATCTCCTGCCTCAGCCTCCTGAATAGCTGGGACTACAGGTACACGCCACCATGCCCAGCTAATTTTTGTATTTTTTGTTTATTTTATTTTTTGAGACACAGTCTCATTCTGTTGTCCAGGTTGAAGTGCAGTGGCATGATCTCAGCTCACTGCAACCTGTACCTCCTGGGTTCAAGTGATTCTCCTACCTCAGCCTCCCTAGTAACTGAGATTATAGGCACACCCACCACACCCGGCTAATTTTGTATTTTAGTAGAGTCATAGTTTTACCATGTTGGCCAGGCTGGTCTCCAACTCCTGACCTCAAGTGATCTGCCCACCTAGGCTTCCCAAAGTGCTGGGATTACAGTTGTGAGCCACCACACCCGGCCTAATTTTTGTATTTTTTGTAAAGATCGGATTTCACCAGGCTGGTCTTGAACTCCTGAGCTCAAATGATCTGCTCGCTTCAGTGTCCCAAAGTTTTGGGATGACAGGCGTGAGCTACCACCACACTGGGCTGCCTTTATATATGAATTTCTTTTTTTTTTTTTTTTGAGACGGAGTTTCGCTCTTGTTACCCAGGCTCGAGTGCAATGGCACGATCTCGGCTCACCGCAACCTCTGCCTCCTGAGTTCAGGCAATTCTCCTGCCTCAGCCTCCTGAGTAGCTGGGATTATAGGCACGCGCCACCATGCCCAGCTAATTTTTTTTGTATTTTTAGTAGAGACGGGGTTTCACCGTGTTGACCAGGATGGTCTCGATCTCTTGACCTCGTGATCCACCCGCCTCGGCCTCCCAAAGTGCTGGGATTACAGGCTTGAGCCACCGCGCCCGGCTGAATTTCTTATTATATGTTTCTGTTTTATAGGGATGAGCCTTAAGGAGTAAGACACCTTGCATTACTAAAACAAGACAGTTACTTGATCTGAGGAGAGCCACAGCATATCATGATTATTATCTCCTTTAAAGTGTCTTCCATAGGCTGTGAGAATTAGATGATTTAACACCTCATCAGGGATTCTGGTCTTTTCCATAGTGGGAGGATACCTTTTTAGTGGCAAAAGTGGATTCATGTCTGAGCAGCGAATTTTAAGGACCACTCTAAACTTTACTTTTCAAAGTATGTTCCCTGAGCACTCTGGCTCAGTTGCTTTCTCATGGAATGGCCTGATGTCCATGTGGGTTTTTTAACTCAGGGTGCAGATGATAACCAGAGATGAAGGACAGAACAAACACTGGTCCTAAATGGGGCTTTTAAGGTAGAAATTTCCCTTTAGCAGTGATTCCCCTTTTCTGAGCATCGCCCTCAGGAGAATACAAAGATGAATAATGAGTCCTGTGACTACTTAACTGGAAAGTTAATTTAGTGGGAGCAGACAGTCTCCTGCACAAGTAGAGCACAAGAGCTGGTGCCAAGTATTGTTGAGGAGGTCCAGAGGCTGCTGGGAGTTAAGAGAGGAGCCAGGACATTCTGCCAGTGGGAAGGAGTCAGTCGAGTTGTCATTTTTTAATAGGAGCAGAAACTAAGCAGGTGAAAACAAAAGGGGACTGTAATCCCAGCAATTTGGGAGGCCGAGCCAGGTGGATTACTTGAGGTCAGGAGTTTGAGACCAGGCTGGCCAACATGGTGAAAACCTGTCTCTACTAAAAATACAAAAATTAGCTGACCATGATGACAGGCGCCTGTAATCCCTACTTGGGAGGCTGAGGCAGGAGAATCGCTTGAATCTGGGAGGCAGAGGTTGCAGTGAACCGAGATCCGGTTACTGCACTCCAGCCTGGGCAACAGAGTGAGACTCCATCTCAAAAAACAAAACAAAACGGGAGAGGGTAGAGCTGATTGACTTGGTGGGTCAGGGGAGTTGGGAGGCAAGAAGATGGGTGCGTGCGTGTTCATTAAAGCATTGTTTTGTGTAACATCGGCTGTGGGCTGCTGGCAGTAGGTAGAGGAGAATGGAAGGAGTTTGGACTTTTTTCTTTTTGGCCTTATAACTCATTCATCCATTCATCATTCATTCATCTACTCATTCACTTGATAGTCATTGAGCCCTATGATGTGTCAGGCACTTTTCTAGGCAGTTGGGATACTTTAGTGAACAAAATGAGAAAGGACTCTGCTCTCAAGGAGCTTACATTCTACAGAGAGCAGACAGAAGAACTCAGTAAATAAGTAAATTTTATGGTATCCTAGGAGGCAGTAGTATCTCAAGAGGTAAAAAAAGGTAGAGAAACATAAGGAGGATTGAGTGGGGAGGTGGGGGCCTTGTAGTAGGGGTGCAATTTAAAATGATGTGGTCAGGGCAAGCCTTCTCCTTATTGAGATGGTGACATCTGAGTGGACTTGAAGGAGATGAGGCAGTTGATGTCTAAGAGAAGAATGCTCTGGGCAGAGGGAACAGTCTTAGCAGCAGGATGTGTGTCTGGTGTATTCAAGGAGCAGCAAAGAGGCCAGTAGCTTGAGCTGATGATTTTGGGTAGGGAACTAATACGACTTCTTAGATTTAAAGATTGCCATGAATGATGAATCCTAGGAGAAAAAGGTTGATATTATGTTTGATAATATAGTTTCTTTGGAGAGGTGTCTTGATGAGTGGGACCTTTTTCCTGAGCATAGTTAACAGATACCTGAACTGGCTCCACCTGAAGTGGGACGGGACTGGAAGCAGAGATGGAGGAGCCAGCATACCCATTTAGAATGTTTATATAGATATAGTTATGTATCTATAGGATCATTAGTAGCTGTATCTATGTAAACATTACGCATTTTCATTTGCCTTTTATTTTTTTTGAGATAGAGTCAGCCAGGCGGGGTGGCTCACGACTGTAATCCCAGCACTTTGGGAGGCCAAGGCAGGTAGATCACCTTAGGTTAGGAGTTCAAGACCAGCCTGCCAACATGGTGAAACCCCGTCTCTTTAAAAAAAAAAACTGAGTGCCAAGTGTCCACTTTGTTCTAAAACAACAACAACAACAACAACAACAAACCAAGAGAAATGGAGTCTTGTTCTGTCACCAGGCTGGAGTGCAGTGGTGCGACCTCAGCTCACCACAACCTCCAGTTCCCTGTTTCAAGCAATTCTCCTGCCTCAGCCTCCCGAGTAGCTAGGATTACAGGTATGTACCACCACACCTAGCTAATTTTTTGTATTTTTACTAGAGATGGGGTTTCACTGGTCTCAAAGTTCTGACCTCAAGTGATCCACCTGCCTTGGCCTCCCAAAGTGCTGGGATTACAGGTGTGAGCCACCGCACCAGCTTGCCTTTTCTTCATCACACGTGTACTACATTTTTAGTTAGGAAACAAAAAAGGCATTTGCCATTCTTAAAGTTGAAGCCACCAGAACAGTAAGAAATGAGGGAAGTTTTAAGCCGGGTGTGGTGGCACACACACGTATAGTCCCAGCTACTTGGGAGGCTGAGGTAGGAGGATCACTTAAGCTTAGGAGTTTGAGGCTACAGTGAGCTATGATTGCACCACTGCACTCCAGCCTGGCAGCAAAGAGAGATCCCATCTCAAAAAATAAATAAATAGAAAGAAAAGAGAAATGAGGGACATTTTATAAGAAAGATGCTACATGTGGAGACCAGATGTCTTCATGTTAGAGAAGATATTTAATAGAGAAATGGGGAAGAGGGGTCAGGGCCTGGTCTCTGTTGACTCCAGATCCCAAAACCTCTGTGGTTAGATCATCAGGGTGAACAGACCCAGCAAAACCGGGCTTAGGTCACCCAAACTCGGGCAAGATGCTCCTGGGCCACCAGGGGAAGCCAGGCCACTTGGTAAATCAGGTCAGGATGTTTGTGGTCAAGGATATCTGAGTTCCCTCTGTCCAGAGTTTCCCCTTCTCAGCTTCGGCCTGAGCTGACAAAAGGTGGTCAA